TATATGAGTTATATCCGAGCAACAGTGAAACTTGTATAAGTTTCACGTAATAAAACGACTGAATATCTTTTATTTTATGAGTTCCAGTTAATAATCTCTAGTTTACACGTTCTCCTTGTATTGATCTAAACCTCCTTTTGGATATTAGTCATACTTTGCACAAGATCTAGAGGGATAAGTTCAACTAAAGATTATTCTTCTTAGGAAGAAGAATGGCTCAAAAACTTCAAAGCCAACACCAAGAAAAGCGAGCAGTTACGCGAAGCTATCGAAACAATCACGGACCGTTTTCAAGCTCGTCTTACTTCCCTTCAGGAGAATGTATTACCAATGCATGAAGTAAATGGAAGGCTTCAAATCAAACAGAAAAGTTTGTTATTATCGCCTGAGGGATATGTTGGAATTCATTTATAAATTTAGATATCCAACGATTGATTAAAACTATCGACACTACCATCCAATTCTATGGGCGCACGAATGAGTTGGAAACTTCAATAAGGTATTTATCTGATCGCATACCAAACTTCTATGTTGATCGTTTCTACTTTTTCGCGTTGCTTGAGTTATTCTTTCTCCTGTATTTACAGAGATGGAAATCCAAGTCATGATTTGGAAAGCTATCTTGAAAACATGGAATGCCTTCAACAAGCCATTCAGTTTTTCGAGTCTCATCCGAATTACCAGAATCAAACGGAAAATATGGTGAGCTATTGCTACTCCTCAAACTTACCATTTTCAAGTTCCTTTATTTTCTAGAAGTTAGTGAAGTCTCAAAGCAAGCAAAAATCATTTCCTTATTTTACTTAGCATAATCTGTAAAATAATTTATAAATTTGCAATCTATTCTGGCACTTGTTGTTTGAGATTGTACTGTAGACCTACTAGCTTCAAAAGGCTTTTCTCATAAGAAACAAAGTTGATTTACAACTTCCAATAATTGTTTTTAGAAACTTAATCTTGAAACCGGATATACAGTACTGGAATCTGAGTATCGTTCAGTGGTTCAGAAGAACACCATTCAAGCTGATCCTGTCGTCGTTATCGAAAGCTTGGATGACCAATACGGTTTGCTTGCTTTGAATTGTTATTTTCTTTCATGTTTTTTT